ATTTCCCTACCACCACCTCAACTTGTCTAGGAAGACATAAGTAAGTATTGGATGATTTCCTCTGTCAACTTGGTTCCTCTGAGCTACAATCAGTAACGCCCACATTTCCCCCAAGTGACGGGCAGGGACAATGACCAGGAGACAAGTAATACACATTTTTAGCACCTTTTCCTTCTGGTCTCTGGGTGGCATTTCTTTCATAAACATTGTCCAATTCTTTTTTTTTTTTTTAATTATTAATTACCTTTGGACTTCTGGGCTTTGCACTCTGTGAGGGGGTGGAAAAAACCTCCTTGATTAATACCTATCTTGCTGGTGCAAAATGCTAGCGACTGCATTAGACAGGCCTGTTGTTTATGGTTCACATTTCTAAACAATCCTAGAGAAATCATAAGTGATGGTTCCCATTTGGATATTAGAGAGGGGTCACCTCAGGAAGAGATAAAAAAGAAGGGGAGATGATTATCTGAGCATCAGATCCTCAGACAGCCCTGGCCCTGAAGACAAGCGAAGAAAGGGTTTCCGTTCCCCAGCCCAGACTGATGTGGATGTGAGCATTCAGCAGCAGCTACAGAAACAGCCACATAGTGTAGAGACAGAAATCACCTGTAACACACACAAACCAAACCACAGTATTAACCACATGCTCTTAGGGAAGCCAACACAAAAGAACTACCAGCTCGTCCTTCTAGGCTGCTATAAAGTAGCAGTTTTACAAATAAAAATTCCTATTTGCACAGATTGATGGGAAGGAAACGACTCCACCTACACAATTTTAAAAACTCCCACGTGCTGAACTCTAACAGAAAGTGTGGTACTCACACGAGAAGGCTCAGTTACTGAGCAGAGTTCTTCTGCATGAACTTCCTCCTATTCAGTGAAAGAAGCAGATATAACTGCCATAGAGTTTTCATTTTCATATGAAAGTGGTTTTTGTCTTTTGGCCAGGAAGGCACTCACTTGATAAAGCACTTTAGGAGTCTTAGGTTGTCTTCCTTCCTCTGAGACATTTGTATAGGGAAAAGAGAGATCCCATGGTTGAGAACATCTCATGATGATGCCGTAACCTTCTGCTTCAAAGCAATGATATTTCTGGTACTTTCTACTTTTTCAAGCTCAAAGCCCAGTACCAAATGCAAGACTTAATTTCATAGAGCACTAAGTTAAGCTGCCATAGTGACCTTATTTGAACTACCTAACTCAAGAATAAGTGGAAAATGCCTAAAGGCCAAACAGCAAGGGGGAAAACACATTAAAAAGGATTATCAAAAACGATCCTCAAGGACACAAGACCAAGGAGAATATGACTTCATTACATTTAAGAAACCAGAGGTTTGGGCATAAATTATTAAGTCTACAAAAGCCAACTTTTGAGGCCAGCAATTTCATAAGGAAATGCAATATATCAATGCAAAACCCACAAATTGAGATTACATCTGCTTCTGTAACTGAACGAACAAAGCTCCTGCGAGTAACTGGGAAAGATAGGCAGGAAAGAATAGAAGATGGTCCTAAAAAATCCTCATGCTTCTCTATGAAAGGAGAGAAGTTGTCAGAGGGGCAGCTCCAGACTTGCAGCCACATCAGCTCACCTGTGGATGTTGGGAATACTCGCCATATTCATAATACCATAGTTCATCATCACCAGGACAAAAAGATGAATGGAATACCTTGAAGACAACAAAGTGAGTATTTAGATAATTTCTATGTGACCTGGAAGGACTGGCAGTTCAAAGCGAGGGAATATTTTTCCATGCAAATTACATAAATGCAATGTCATACCAGGGTATCAGCAAACATGGATTATCACAATGACATCTTTACAGCCTGAATATCCTACATAGATTAATACTTATTGACAAGATATTGTCAATGTGTTTCATTCAGAGAAAGAGCAGCCTAGCTCAAAATGCACATTCAAACTAGACGCATCTTTTCCAAAAGAGGTATCTTCACAGCAGACTGGTGTGGCTTTAACTTCCAGAACAAACATCACAAATTAAATACTTCACTTACAAATACTTTCATGGCTCATTTTACTTTGAAGGTTTGAGATGGTTATGCTGGTTAGGAATTCTTTTTTTTTTTTTTAGGATAACATAGAAAGTGCCTTAAGACTAAAAAGATGTAATCCAGAAAAGCTGATAAGAAGTTTAAAAATATTTTTACCCAAGCCTTGTCTACATGGTCACTAAATACTCACCACCCAAAGCAGAAGACAGCAAAGTATATTCCAAAGAGGGTGGCAAACGCATGGCGAACAGCAGAGCTGGCATGACTGGGACCCAAGTAAATACGAAACCAAAATGCAGCCAAAAGTGCAAACAGTTGACAGGCTACAAAATTGATCTGTAAAAGACAAACAAAACAAAAAATGGTTGTGATTCTTGGAGGAGGGGGGAAGGAGTCTCTCCATTCTCAGAACAATAAAGAGCGGAGCCAGGAGAAGGAGGGGGCGGGGGGGAGTGAGAGAAATTAATCTTTTGTTTCTTAGCGTTCTCACTTGTGAGCCGAAGCGGTAACTTTCCTTGGACAACGACAGAAGGGATTAAACAAGCCTGTAGCCACCCAAAAACTGAGACAGGAGGAAGAGCAGGCTCCAGCTACCCGAGGTACAGCTGGGCTCTGGGCGGTTCTCACTCTCCCCAGGGCAGGGCTCTGCTCCACTGCCAGCAGCGCCGGCACACCGGCCCAACCCAGGTGCAGGGGACGTCACCCCCACGCTGTCCTCCTGGTGGGAGGCAGAGGCCAAGAAGCAGACTGGGACTCTGAAACATTGCCCTGGTGCCTGACTTTCTCCACAAACCCCAAAACAAGGGCAAAATCAACAATCCTGATGTGACACTATTTCATAAGCAATAACTGGACAGCCTTCTTAGCTGAAATCCTCTACTCCACAGCATCCTCCAAGCCGACCTTTCGATTTACCAATTTGTTGCAGTTCAAGGGTGCAAAGAAAACAACTTTGCTCTACCATCATGCAGACAGCTAAAGAAAAACTCTTCTCAATTGTTCTTTGGCTACTGCATGTCTCTATAGAGCATGGGATGTGGTCCAGCCCCATTGTAAGGAGGTAGCGATGGCAGTGTGAGCACAAGACAGGTATATGCGGAGGGCAAGTAGTCCATGACTAGAGGCTATTCCTATCAGACACAAGGACAAGCAAAAGCTTCAGTGTCCTCAGAGCAAAACCGACACCAAGCTGCCTTCAAGTCACCTTCTCTTTGACAGCCTCAGCAAAAATCCCAGAAGCCAGAGGAACAACAGAGGACAGGAGCTGTCTCTAACAGACCAATACAGCATTAGGATACGATATCCGTAAGTCCAGCCTGGACCCTAGACAGCTGGAGTTAAATTCATTTCTTCAGCTGCAGTCCTTTTTTTATTAAAAAGAAAAAATTCACCCTGAGCTCTCCGGCAGCAAGTCATCCTAGACTGAGCAAAACTAAACAGGCTGCAACATTTAAGCCATCACTTGGATTAGAGGATTATCCAAAGCTATCAGTCCAGGACAGGGTGATATATCTCACTCATATCACTTCTGGCTGTCCAGAAGTGGTTGGATTCAACCAAGCTTCTTGCCAAAAAGATTTACAATGTGTTTAACAAGACACTACAGCCCCAAACTGCTTTTATTCTGGTGGACTAGATCCAACATGGTGCTGTTCAATCAAATGCTTTTATTAAAGGTTTGTTGGCTACATTGCTGCAGTTCCTTTATTTCAGTGATGCAGGCAGCCATACAATAGAATAATGCAATAACTTAAATACTTAGATATGCTGAATTTTAGTTATTTGGAGCAGAGACAATATCTATTTATTTCTTGTTCATGTAAGCAACCAGCATTTATAACAGACATTATCATAGAACTATACCCAAAAGCAAGTAATTAGCAATGTCTTATTATGACAATACTTTACGCTTTATTTAAATAAGACTATTCTTATTTTCCGTGCAAGATTTAAAAAGTGAGAGAAAAAAATTGCACTGGTCTCACAAAACCCAGATGCTGCGGTACAAATCCCAAACTCTCACCTGGTCTATTACAATACAGTTACACTCAAAACACTAACTCCTCTCCCTCCCCTCCTTCCACAGCCAGAGGTACCGCACAAATGGCTGGAGAGAGGACATCCCCTACAGGGCTGCTCTGATTGCATCCTTTCTAAGCAAGTTTCCAAGACTGATAGATGCCAACTCATCAATGACAATTCAGTGAACCTTAATCCCACCTCAGCCTGCTCCCACTTCGGGTCATACTAGTACATCCAGTGGAGCTCAACTCTGTGGCACGCAGAGCCCCTCTGATTCAGTATAAAGAAGGAAAGTGCAGAGACTCCAAGAAACCTGATGTGGCTGACTGTTTAAAAGACAATACCCCCTTCTGTGCAGCATCACTCATGGAAGCTTTATGCCGGTAAAAACCATCAAGATAAGCAAGCGTTTGCTTTCTACTTTCATGCAGTTCTTGTATGTTCAGTCCGGGATGTTAAAGGTGTGACTTCAGAGGTTCATGCACACTGTAAAATGAAAGTGCAAGATCCCATGGCAGACACACTCATAATAGCATTTACATAGCTAAGGCAGGTAACCACAGCAGCAGCAGAAAGCAAGCAGCAGAGGCTTCATCACAAGCTAACATACAGTATACGACAGCACTGCAGCCTTGCATACATATGCTGTTGCTCACCTATACTATCAATTCCTCTGAACATGTGTTACCTATGCTACTTGGATTAAAGTTAGCACGTGTATGCCAACCTTGCCACTATCACATCTTCATTTTGTTGTGCAAATTAACCAAGGCAATTTCTTCTCTGCGCTGCTTTTGCAGGAGTTGGGGTAAATCCTTGTACTGGCATAAAAGCAAAAGTACACACCAGCCTTACGTTTCAATCGGCTTTCAATTTATAAGAGTTTTTTCTGTAGAGCAGCCAAACACCACAGATCCAATGTACTCAGCAAGCAACAATCTCAGAATACTAGTTTTCATTTACCCTTTTTGTACGGAATTAAGCTAGAAAGTACCTTGCAGAGGAATGGCTGCAACACACCATTAAAAGTTACAGATATGATTCAAAAACCTGAAGATTAACCTTACTTTTCAGGATTAGTAATTGACAGTGATGGTGTTGAAGAGGCACAAACACACATCAGGATTCCTGAGTGTCATTTGAACATTACATGACCTACCACAATAGCATAAGGGAAGTGAGAAGGCTGCACCCAACACGTTGCTTGGGAGATCGACTCCCAGATACAAAAAAAATGCAGTCTGAAATGCAGAAAGAGAAGATTTTCTCTCACTGGCTGAGAACATTCATGCCTTTGCCCTCCCTTCTGACCTGCAACCACCATAGCTCTTCGGCAGCTTTCCAGGTTCCTCTCCCCCATGGCCATGTTTTTCTGACAGACAGTACTGCTCCTAAACACAGCATGCTGCATTTGTTTTTCTTTGTCTACCATTAAGGCTTTTTTGTGTGTATTTACAGTAACACATACACATTACAAACAACATGGTTGGTTTTAAAGGATTCCTCACCAGAGGAGTTGGGAGAGGGATACCAATGAACAAGAAAGCCAGGTAAATACAATTATTACTGATAAAACCTTTCTGTCATCCATGAGGTATTGGGTACCTGTTGGACAAAAACATTGTGGAATAGTACTGGAGAATACTTCTTGTATCTGTCCACCTATAAGCCTGCACTTGGAATCTGAATGCACCAAGATGACCTCTGATTTCTGTGGGGTTCAGTCTGAAGACCAAACTTAGCTGCGTAGAGCTCACTGCAAGGTCTAGCACATAGTTTACTGCAAGACTGACTTTTAGAGGTGCTAAGCAATTGCAGAATAATTCTGCAGATCAATCCCTCCTGAATTTACCTGAGCCAAACTGAAAGTGTGGATAAACCAGGCCAAATCTTTTCTGAACTGCAACCTGTCACGAAGAGAGGGAGGGAAGTTGTTTCTTTCTTGGGTTCGGGGAATGTAAGACAAATGTCAAGACACCAGTAAAACTGGGGAGCTCCTTTCCAAGTGCTGAAAAATCTGTTCTGCCTGGCAGGCTGAACTCCATTATTTAAAACTGAGCACTAACTTGGTACCAGTCCAGATCGGGTCTGTTCTCCACAGAGTAACAGAGGGATATGACAGCTTTTCATATGGCTACCACCTCCATTTAGTTATTTATATGTAACGTTTTAAACACATGCAGCATTCACATGCGTACACACAAAGACTGCCAAATACATCTGACAGTGACTTTACTGCATTCCATTTAACATGAATTTTATTCTTCACTTCACGTATTTAAGGTACCTAAGTAAACAGATCCCTAAGATTTTAAGAAATGTTGCACTGCATCACAAGTGAAGTAACAGTCACACTTTCCTCCCTTTCCCTTCCCAAAGAGGAAAGGGTTCATATTATTCCCTTTTGGTTATTTCCACTGTTGCTAAAAACACTTTGTAAACAGTAAATTGAGGGCTTCTGAACATTGATGAATGGCATCCGCACAAAAATAACATGGAAATAGAAAAGAAATTATATGAGAATTAACCCTTCTCATTCCAACTCACCATTATAAGTCATTCAACCCATGTTTTTAGCTAGTGACATCTATTCAGTGTTGCCATCAAATTTTTTTCACATCTGGTTTCAACTTCGCTAGCAGAAAAGAAACACCTTTGCTTTTTACAGTCATTTTCTTCCATGCTCTAGCGAGTAAGATGTAATAAATTTAGGAATCGGAGCACATGATCTGTTGCCAAAACAAGGTATTACCTTCCTTTCATTTTCCACAATTAAACATTGGAAACAGAAAGGCAGTCTCATCACAGTATCCTGCACCAACATCTGGAAGACTTGTATCTGAGTCACAGCCAGCTGAAGACAGCCTTGCAATGCAGAAAGAAGATATCTGCACTTTTGGAGAGAGAGAAAATCTGGAACAGCTCCAGCCCAACTGGGTTGATGGTTATTGTTGTCTGGTTAAGGAATTCTTTAATATCTAATACTCTCGACTTTAAAAGGCCAGATGGATCCAGAGCATGTAAACACCAGGTATGAACAACGAGAAAAAAAAAAAACAAAAAAAAAAAAACCACCTAGTTCCTCCCTTTATCCATTCAAATTCTGTAGTAGCAATAAATCAAAGTGATGTTTAGACTGCAAAACTGAGTTTTTTACAAAGCTAGCAATCAGGTCAAACCAACCAACCAAGCACCTATGATGTTGACACAAGAATAACCAAACATAATGGTTTCAAGATCCCCCTATACTATTATGCTAAAATCAAAGCTCTCAAAGCACATAAAATGTTTGTTCAATCTGCCTCAAGCCTTTG